TGTGGAGAGGTATGTTGACATCTATTATGAGGGTGATTTATCAGATTTTCTCAGTAATTGTAGCACCTTTCCTTTACCTATCTAAAAGTTATTTTATTAGATGAACACATTTAAAAGTGACTATATATTTTTGGCAAATCAAACTTTTTATTGTTAAGAAGTACTTCTCTTTATCCATAATAACATTTTTTTTGATAGTCTAACATAAAATATATAACATCTTTGGTTAGAATGTACCTGTTACTTTTTTTTTACCTTATTATTCTCAGTCTCTTTTTCTTTAGCATGTTGGTTTTTTGTTTCTTTAAGACAGCATATGCCAGAATAAAAAAATATTCAACATGTCAATTTTTGTCTAAAATATTTTTAATGACTCCTGTATTTGGGTCCATTTATAATTTTTAGATATATTATTAGAATTTTCCCAGTATTTTCTGCTTCTGAAAGTTCTGATCACTTTAATTCATGAAACTCTTGCAAATCTGTGTTTGCCTTTCATATATTTATATAATTTATTGTAAACCATTTTAAATTTGGCCTTCCCAAGGCAATTTATCTGAGATTTTGTAAACCTAGAATATTATTTGAGAGACAATATGGCTGAATACAACATCTTAAGTTTAATGTCCTTTTCTATCATACTTTGAAATCACTACTCCATTGTTATTCAGTTTTATTTAAATCTAATAATCAGATTATTTGAATGTCCTTCTCTTTATCTTTCTTAGTTTTTATATTTTTTTCTCTCTCTAATTTCCAGAAAATATATCTTCATTCTTCAAATGTTTTCTGTTTTCTACTTATGTTGTTCTCTCTTCCTGAGATTTCTTTTAAAATAAATATCATCACTTGAAACTTTATCCTCCATTTCTCTTAACTTTTTTCTAATGTTTTCTATTAGTAATTCTTTATCTTGAGAGATTTCCTCAGTCTGGCCTTCCAAGAGGCAAATTCCTTTCTTAGCTGAATTCTCACTGCTATTCCATCTTTTATTATTATTATTATTTAACAATATTTGCATGTTTTATGCTGACTATTCCTGATTTTCTGTTGTTGTATTTTCTGATTTTGAGTTCATGGCTAACATTTCCCTTATTTATTTTAAGGAAAATTATACAAAACTCGTAACTAGGGCATATGATCATAGCCAGCCCACTTGACACCACACTGGAGCCTAGTTCCACTTGGGGGCCATGTAACTCTCTAGGAGAGCATAGTTTTGACTTAGTCTTTGTAACTGATTAAGGCTCATACTATGTAAAGCTACAGGTCAACATGCAATGGTTGATAAATGCAAGCTAATTTCTTTCTGGCAAAAAAAGATAGCCGGTTTTTTTTCTTCTTTTGCTCTGTAAGAAAATAACCAGTTTTATGTCTGCTTTAACAGTCTGATTCCAATAACCTTTCTTCCACTGACTATACATAGCCAATATCTCAAATTCTGATTTGGGCCAACATCATCATTCTGCTTGTTTTACTGAGCTAAATAAATCTAAGTTAAAACATATGCTCCCTATAATTTGGATGTCATATTTTAAATTTTTTGAAAAATTTCTTTGTAACCTCTTTTAATGTTTTTTTTTTTTGACTAATTGGTTTTTCTTTTATAATTATTCTACTGAAAGTGTACATAATAATCCAATACATTGTTTTTCTTGTTAATTGGTAGTACCCTTCAAATGTGCTCTTCATTTAGCATCTTTGCTTTACCCTTCTGGAGATATGGATTATTATGTCAGGAAATAAATGCAGGAGAACACTAGACCAACGTACTTCCTTGATCTTGCAGGAGAGATCTGATCTTTCCATTGATCTAGCAAGGAACCAGGATCAGCACCAGAAATACAAAGTGGTTTCTTGCAGCTCCATTACCTTCACAGCAGAAATTCTGAGAAATCACCCAGCCTGTGGTCCTGGGCTTTGGTCTCTTTGTCATGATTCTAAGTCACCTCTGTTCCTTTAACTCTTGGTCCCTTTCTGAGGTTTTCACTGTGCTCAGTTGTCCCCTACTGGGACTGCTGCCCCTAACTCGGGTGCTAGGCTGGGGACACTGCTCTTACCTCGTCTACTTTTTCTCAAAGGTGGTCCGATCTCTGCTTTTAATTTCCCACACCACAACTCTAGAAGGTTGAAAGGTTATCCCTGAAAAAATAAAATATCTGGAACCTGTGATTGTGAATTTATTTGGAAAAAAGGACTTTGAAATGTAATTAATTAAGGACCTTATGATGAAATCACCCTAGATCACGCAGGTGGGTACTATATACAACGACAAGTGTTAAAAGAAATAGAAGATATAGACACAGAGGAGAAGGCCACGTGAAGACGGGTGCAGAGAGTAGGGGTGCAGTCACCAAAAGCTGAACAGCACAGACCTGCAACAACTTGCTCTCAGAATTCTGGCCACCAAATAGTGAAAGAGCACACTACATTTTCGTGGTGTTAAGTCACCAAGTTTTGTACTAATTTGGTTTGGCAGGCTTAACTCAGATATCCAACACCAGGCTGGAACCTCTGTCTTTACTAAAGGTTTGGGGATAATAAAAGGGAAAAGTAACACAAAGAACAATTATAACTGCTGCTTAGGCCCAGAGGCACCCATGGCCCTGGCTGCCTGGGTCCTCAACAGGGTCATGTCCTGCCTCCTTGCAGCAGGACTAGTGTTTTGAAGTTTCAAGGTATGGGGCCTGGTCCAATTTTACCCCCTGTCTGGAAAGAAGGGAAGTTCTTTACTCTACAGCTGTGGAAGGCTGGCTGCTTAAATCCTCCCAGCCCTAGGATTAACTTTTCTCTCTTTGCATGAGAAACCGCTCCTCCTGCAGGCTTTGTGCTTCAACACTACCCGTCATCTGATTCCCCTACAGGAGGGGCTTTTAGTCCTGTCCAGGTGAGGCTGCTCCAAGCCAGGCCTTTGCTTTTTGAGTTTCAATAAAATGAGCAAATGAACAAACAATTCAGAATCTGTGTCACTTACCATCATCTTATTAAATTAAGTTTATTTAAAAATGCCTTAAGCTTGGGTTGTTTGATGGGATTGAAGCTTCATGAAATTAGTCTTCCTAATGATCCTAACTGTGTGAAATCTATGCATATGATTGGAAACTGGGAGGGAAATCTGAAAATTGCTAGCAATTTTGTTAGTCTCGTGAAATTATACCAAGGGTACAGGTAGAATTATGGGTGAGATTTTTACTCTTAAAATATATCTTTTAACATTTCTTTCAGAGTGTATAATGTTATTTTTATAGTAAATAAGGAGAATCATAAAATTTTGATGCTTTGTGTGAAAATATGATACCAGTTGCTAGGGAAAAGTGTCTTTGCTGAGAGGAACTCTTGAGTTTATGTGTGTTTCAAGTAGTTGCAGATCTATTTGGGAGGTAAAATGCTTCCCTTTATTATTAATAGGGTGGGGACATTTCATTCTCACTTATTAAAGAATATCAGTCATGAGGTACCACTCAAATAGGCTGGAGAGAGAGAAAGTGAAAGGGAATCTTGAGGCCAAGGGAGGAAGATAGAGTTAAGAAAAGAGCAGCATTAACGTTATCCCTGTAATTACCTGCTACCCCAGCTGTTAGCAGAAAACTGAGCAAAGACTACCTAATAGCTCTGGATGAGTCTAAGAAATTTGCCAGTCTTCTCTGCTTAGAAAGCCCTTGTTCCCACCTACTGGATTCAGAGGGTTCTCTAAGGCTTACCCCACATAGCAGTTTTTCCATAAAGTAATTTATTTATTTATTTGAATAGCTGGGGTACAGGCCAGAAGTACAGGGGGTAAAAAATTCACCAGAGACACAGTGGAGAGCAGAACAGGCAAATTTGCTGAAATTCACTGTTAAGGGGAGCAGTGGGTGAGACAGGAGAGGTCTGCTGTGCCATATGTGGGTTAGCTCCCTGGCTGGGGATTGAACTCAGGACACAGTGGTGATTGTGCTGAGGTATAACCCCTAGGCCACCTGGAAGGCCCCTTTCTGTAAAATCTTTATCGATTATTCTACCCCCACCAGGAATCTAAGTTGCAAAATTTTAAAAACATTCATTATACACTACCTTAGACATGCTCAGTCTATTGTCTTAGCTTTTCTCCATTCCAGCCTTTATGGGCCCCCACACATGGCAAGATTCTTCAGGGCACCTAAGGTGTACATTTTTTATGTAAACTAATTTGAAGTCCAGGGATAAAAAGTTTAGATTGTGCTGTGACAGTAATAGAAATTGGGGGAAAGAGAATCACTTTATTTTCTATTTATTTTTTTATATATTAGCTTTAGTGTATATAGTTTTTTTTTTCATTTGCTTATATATATATTTAAATTATTTATTGTCTTACATCTTTGTTAATTTTTGGACAGTACTTGATTTCCCCCCCCCTCAGGTGTACTCCCATAGATCCCCCCACCACAGCACCCTGCTCCATCACCACAGTCCCTTGCTCTCCCTCCCCTGTCTAACCCCTCTCCCTCCCTCCCCTTACTATATGCCTCAGATCTTTGGTCAGCCTGCTGGATTTGCTTTTTTTTTCTTCCTGACACTTTGGTTTCTCTATAGTCCGTGAAACCATCTGATATTTATCTTTTTTCTTCTGACTTATTTCGCTCTGCATAATCCCTTCCAGCTCCATCCATGTTGCCACAATGGCATGAGTTAATCTTTTTTGATCTCAGAGTACTATCAGTGTATATATTTTAAAGTTAGTTACAGTTTACAGGAAGCTGAATTTTTATTAAAAACAAAAACAAAAGAATGAAAAGTCTTATTGCTCCCTGTTTTCCTTGCTGACTACAAAACCTGGCTGTTGACAACATGTGGTCATAATCTCATCACTGCCATGGCCAAATGAATTGTATCAATAGACCAAACAGGAGAGCTGAATGATTACCCAGAATTTAAACCCTTTCACGTTGTATTGGACATCAATATTGTCTGAAGTTCCTTTAAACTGGAAGAGCTAATGATTCTATGATCATTATTTAGATAACAGTAACAGCTAACATTTATTGTTGTTAACTCGGTGTCAGACACTGCTTTAGCGCTTTTTGTAGTTTTCCCTGGCATAATAATAAGCATATGAAGAGACTCAGCATAAGGATTGTAAGTCCACAATGAAGATTTAAGCCCAGATCCAAACTCATGAAGATCCTTGAAGAAGCCACGTTCTTCAACAGGATTCCCTACTGTCTTTCATGCCTTGTCTCTTGCCCAAAATATTTTGAGATGTGTGAATTTTAATTATTAAAGGCAAAGGCAAAATATAGGAGGCAGTGGGCTGTCTTAAAACCTAGATGCATGGTCCTTTCTTCTCAAGAGCCTCCCTTTTTCAGCAGTTGAAGACTGGAAGAGGAAGCCCAGTGGTGAACAGCGTGAGGAGGGTGGACTCTGGGGTCTGCTCCGCCCTGTGCCAGCTGAGTGACCTTGGGCGAGGCCTGTGTTGATGAGCCTGGAGCTCCGTGAAGGCCACTGTGTTGAGCACTGCATGGGTTGGAGAGATGAACAAGTCAGCTTTGCCCTCAAGGGAGTATTTGACCTAGTGGAGGAGAAAGGCATGTGATCAAATCATTCAGACAGAATGTAATAGAAAGCAGTTAGGAAGAACTGAAGAATGTGTACCTAGCTTGGTCTGGTGGAAAGAAAAGTACTTGGCTGTCCTTGTTCTCAGACAGAAGCAGTTTTGTGTTTATGGAGTGTAGCTGTCTATCATATCTGTTTTCCTCTATTCCTAAGCCATGGTCCCTGAGATCCCCAAATCAGAGATTTATTTATGTAGGTTAGCATGTCCTTTTCCCATGGATTTCTGTAAAACTGCAAATGGCCTTGGGATTTGTATCAATTTTCTAACGCTATTTTAGTGACATGTTATGTAACAACTTGTAGGGCCTCACCCAGAGTAAGGGTCATGGAAACTGTTGACCGGTCCTGAGGCTGGTGCAGCCATGTGCTGTGCTGGAAGGCTTAGGCTCCAAGTCCTGGACACATCTTCATCTGAAAAACAAAAAGCAAATGCAGGGAGTAAGTTCATGAGCACGAGAAGGGGTGACTGTGTAGACATTTCAGTTCTCTGTGCTGTCCCTGTCTCTGTCACGAGGCTCTTATTTTCTTAGGTGGTTTCTCTGTTCCACTGTGACAAAGCTCACTTGGAGGCTCCAAGGCTGGGGTGCCAGCGTCCTCCTGTGCTATCCTGTTCCTTTTCTCTATTTTCCGACTCTACCATCTCCCATCAGTCCCCATCCACGTGGCTAATGAGAGCCTATTCAGACCTCATTAAGAGAGCAACTTGATTTCTTCCACACTCTGAAGTTAATCATGTCTCTTTCATTAGTTCAATTTTGGCAATTAATGTACCTCTGTATACATAGATGGCTGTTTGCTTTTAATCTAAGTGACACATGTTTGACTGTCCTTTCCTCTCAGAACAGTCATCTCCTTGTCTTGTTTCTCTTTCCTGATCAAGACGACCTTGGTCAGGGCTCACCTTGAGAGTGATGGACATCAGCCCAGCAAACTTCAGAGCAGAAGGGACTTAGGGTAGAGAGACTGGATAGTTCATGGAATAAAAGAGAATGCCAAACAACTGATTCTAAGAAACTAGAAAAGTCAGGGAAACCCTGGGGACATAAAGGCCTCTGAAACAGCACTGCTCCTGAGCTGGCATGTGAGCTGGGACTTTAAATGACCTTCCTAGTGCTCTGTGAGGCCAACTGCTTGGGGACGGTCCTAGGCCTACTCTGACACCTACTGTGATGCGGGCCTCCAAGGTGGCTGCTACGGCCTCTATGTCTGTGACATCCATATGCCGCTGTGTACTAGATCTGTCAGCAGCAAAGGCAAACCCACCAGTTGAGGCATCTACCCTTGTGAGGATGAACTGCTGGGCCTTTCATGATCTTGGGACCAGTGTAGTCAACTTGCCACCAAGTGGCCAATTGGTTCCCTGGAGGAATGATGCTGTATCAGAGGCTCAACCTTGGTTTCTGTTCAGAGGCCAGAATCACTAGATCAGCTTTGATGAGTGGGAGTCTATGCAGTTGGGCACCGACAGAGTCTGTGTCTGCCACTGTGGCTACTCCACTCGTGTGTGGAGGTCTGAGGGAAAGGCATGTGGATGAACACATTGAGAGTGGACATAGAATGTATGCTGTGAATTAAAGCTGACTAGAATAAATAAGTAGGCAAAATGACTGTTGTGTGAACCTGCTGTGACCAGCCTTCATTCATCACAGACCACCTGGAACAGGACTGACACACACAAATCCTATTCGTCTTCTCTTAAAAAAATACTACATCTAGCATACCAGCTATGATTAAGGCTACTAGTGAGTTAAGCCTATGTCAGTTTTCAGTCATTCTGTAGAATCCACCCAGTTTCTGCAGAGGCCAGACTGACCAATTCAATGGAGGTGTGATAGATGAAGGAGTCATCTGTATTGCCACATTCTTTATCATTTTAAAGATGGCACCAATCTCTGTCATTGAACCTGAAATGCAATATTTTTAAAAATTAATTGATTCATTAATTAACAATGAATGTAAGAATGTAAGAACATTGAACATGAGATCTACTCCATTAGCATATTTTTAAGTGTACAATACAGTATTGTTATCTGTAAATGTAATATAATCAGACCTCTAGAGTTTATTAATCTTGCATACTTTAAATTTAATACATTTATTACAACTCCCCATTTCCTCTTCCTGGAAATGTTCATTCTATTTTTTGCTTCTATGAATTTGACTTGTTACATGTAAGTGTAATAACACAATATTTATCTTTCTGTGACTGACTCATTTCACTTAGTGGATGGATGTCCTGTGGTACGAACATGTTGTTGCATATTGCGGTATTTCCCTCTTCTGTTAAGTCTGAATATTATTCTGTCGCATGTATGTATGTACCACATATTCTTTCCTCATTCACCTTTTAATAGACACTTAGGTCATAGTCACATCTGGTTATAGCGAAGAACTCTGGCTAAAAAAGCAGATGACAAGACAAGATTAGATGTGTAAGACACCTATTGAGAGGAAATAGATGTCAGGGGAGAAAAAGAGGAGGAAGTTAGAAGCAGGAAGAGCTATCAGACTATGAAAAAGGACTGTATTAGTTCCTATTGCTGCTGTAACAAACTGCCAAAAACTTAGGGCCTTAAAACAACATGAATTAATAATACTACAGTTCTGGAGGTCAGAAGTCTCACTGACCAAAATCAAAGTGTTGTCAGTTATGTGTTCCTTTTGGAAGTCCCTGTGGGAGAATCTGTTCCCTGACTATTCCAGCTCCTGGAGGCTCCCTGCACTCTGACTTCATAGTCCTCTTGTATCTTCAGAGCCACAATGATGTCACTCAGGCTTCTGCTTCCACGGTCACAACCCCTTCTCTGACCCTCTATGGGTGCTTATAGGGGATCCACTGGAAAATCCTGGGTCAAAATCCCTAACTTATTCACATATGCAAATTTCCTTTTACATATAAAGTAACTAAGATATTCCGGGAAGGTGGGGCATTGGCATTATTTTGGCTAGGTGGGTTCTTCTGAAGGTGAGAGGGGAGGGAGAAGAACTAGATGGGAAGTTTCAGACTCTAGTACATGTTTGGAAAACCTTGGCTGGACTAAGATGTCTTTGAGTTAAGGAATGGGCCTAGCGTAGGGGTTTTACCTTGCTTGGTTACAGTCTGGTGATGGGCATGGGTGGGACCATTCATCAGCTGTGTCCTTCCTGCAAAAAAACCTGAGAGCATAAGTTCAAGGCTGTTATGACCATCGGCTCATGAGTCAGTCTGCCTCCCTTCACATTCGAGTTCTGCCGTCTAATTATAAGAACTTTCTGTGCCTCAGTTTTGTCATCTATAAAATGTGAATGATAATAGTACCAAATTAATTAACCAGTTGATAGTAATAGGGTTGTTGTGAAGAATAAATTAGAACGATGCTCTTAATAATGTTGTCCATACCATCTATTACTAATGTCAGGATTAATCTGCAGCTGTGACTACCTGCCCTCTGCCCTCTTTGTTGCATGATGTTGTTATGTAGTTCCATCATGTTGGGGTTGTTGGGTCTGTCTCTGTTGCTTTCTAAGAAAAGGCAGAATGTTCTAAGGCAGATTCCTACGTCCGGTGTGTAACGTGATAGGGTAACATGACACACAGTTCCTTTTACACTCAGGTTCTCTCTGTCTAGAAAGAAACCTGCATGACACAAGTATCTGAGAAGGCCTGGGAGTCCCAGTGCTGGCTAGTAATCCTGCATTTGTTATGCCATCTTGGGCTTGTCACTCAACCTCTCTGATTATCAGTTTCAGTCAACTGAGACAATCATATCATACCTGCTTACATTCCTCGTCAGACAGTGGTAATGAGTGAGTAAATGATGTATAAGTCCTCTCAAATGTTAATAATAAATATGCCTTTTAAAAGAAAAAAAATACTTTTGTACTCCCTCCCTTCCATGCTGTTGACTTAAAATATATTTTATTACATCATTACTTGTGTGTTTACAAGCATAAAACAGGCATAAATGCTTTATGCTTATCCTCCTCATATTACTATAAAAGCAAATCAAATTTATAAATTAAATACAAATAGTCACAAAACTAATAAAGTTCAAATAAACAAAATTAACTTAATGGGATAGATTTTTTAAATGAAATGAATTGTTGCTTGGAATGGTGCTGGCTGCCTTAAGTCAGTTCTTTTGAGTGATGGTATTTGGCTTCTGTTTGGTGACTAAGCATATTGTATTCTTCCGTCATTAATTAAAAGTAATTATTATAGTGTTTCTTATGTGTGATTATTAACACAAATTTAAGCTTGCATAGCAAAATGATGTGCCAGAGTCTTTTATACATGGTTAACCCATTATGTAAAATGTACTTTTACTATTCGATTTAGACTATAAAGACCAAAACTCAAATATTCAAAGCGAAGTTATTGGAGCAAACCTGGGGATCGCTGGGAATGTCACCCATGATCAGACACTGCGAGAGGAATGGGGATGTGCTCATGGAGCTCCTGGCTGGTGGGAGCCACACTGGGGTGACTATAGGCTAAAGCAGTTGCCCCAAATCATGTAAAGTACCCCTTTCTTGCCTTGCCCTTCTCTCTGATGATGACCCTCTTGTACAGCCCCCTCTCAGGTTGGGGTTTGTTTTGGTTTCATCTTGGAGCTTCTCGGATCCCTGGTCAGACTAAGGCCAACATGGGCCTGCAGAGTCTGGCTGGGATGAGGCACAGCAAGGTGCATGGTCAGGCAGTTTTCTGGAAGGAGGCAAAAGCAGAGAGGGGAAGGGATGACAGGTGCTGAGTGACCAGAGCTCTGGACATGACTGCTCCTTTCCCTGTTACCTAACAGTCAGGATGTGGCTTCTCCCCTCTCTGCCAGGTTCCAACTATGGCTGCTCAGGGGAGTCTGATTTATAGAATTAGAACAACTAGATTATAGGGCCCCATGGAATCTTAAAAACTTACTACAAGCTTAACAACACAAATGATGACTCTGAGTTTTGTTTTTGGAGCTATAAAGAGAAGAACTGTAAAGATTGTTCTTTTTCCTTTTCTCTTTTTTCCTCTTTTTTTTCCCTTAAGCTTCCATTTCTCTCTCTGTTTCCCTTTCACTGTCTCTTCCTGTGGTTTTTCTCTTTGTCAAAGACATAATTTTTACTCCTGATTTTTTACTTATTCCTTTACTTTTTCCAAGATATCACATTTGAGGTCAACAAAAGGAGGAAAATAATAATAAAATAATATTAATATCAATATTATCCCCTCACATTTGTATTTCTTATTTTATAAAATGTTGTCATATTATCTTGTTTTTTTCTCATAACCTGTGACAGTTATTATTTTTCTGTTTTACAAGTGAGAAATTGATGCTCAAAAAAGTGAAGGGAGCATGCCCTTCTGCTACCCGTCTTTGTAGGCTTTTTCCTTCTTGAAGTCGTCAGTCCTGTATTCACGGATAAGACTGAGTCAGGCAAGGGCATGTACCTGATGTAGGGGAGAGAGGAGATGCAGGGGAGTGTCACAGCCAGACACTGAATATTCACTAAGTATCTCCAGTATTCAACAGGAGGTGTGACCCACACTTGAAAAAATAAAACAGTCAGTAGAACCAAATTCGGAGAGGGGCCCTCATGAACTATGTAACAAAGACTTTAAAGTAGCTTTGGTAAATGTTTCAAAAAATAAGGAAACAATTATGACAATGATTCAACTAAGAAAAACTCTCAAAAGAAATAAAATTTTAAAGAAAGAACAAATGGAAATTTTGGGTAAGAAAAATTCCCTGATAAGAAAAAGGTAACACAATATTTTGTTTGTTTGCTTTTACTGATAAAAATAAGTTACATACTTAGGTATGGCTTAATTAGGTTTCTTTTATACAAGAGAAACAAGTACAAATGCTTCATGATGAATATAATTTTAAAAGAGAAAAAGCACTTAGATATAGTTCCTCCACATACTGCTTGTTAGTCATTTCCTCTAGCTGAATCTCTGACATTTTCTGAGAGCTAATGTCTCACTAGGATGTTAGTGGAATGAACCACGGCAGGAGAGGGGGGCTCAAGGATGGGCATCTGGCTGGATGAGAGAGGGGCTGACAAATTACATAAATCAGAAAGGCCAGTAATCAGATCCAGAAAGGAGTGAAAGAAAAAGAGATAAGTAACGAGTCCCACACCTACCTTCCCAGCAGGTAAAGGAGAAG